ATAGAGTATTCGGAGAAAGAAAGTGGTAGAGACAGAAGCATGTAGTTGTCTCAAACAACTTTTCTACATTGATATCTTGAAAGTAATAGTCTGAACTTGCCTAAAGAAAAGGCCACATTCAGCACAAGGCTGAAGCTCTCATCAGTTGTGAGAACTCAGCAAGTTTCAAGTTCAGGTTTTTGTAAAGCTTCTTGTAAAGCTTCTTAGGTTTTTGTAAAGTTTCTACCAGTTTTGATAAAATCACCTTTGTCCAAGGAACATCTTAACAATAAATTCAAGTAAGTCTGAAAAACACTAAAGAACCTGGACATTCTGGAGTAACTACTGAGCAGCAGTGCAAGGTTACCTGGAACTGGGTAGCTTCCACAGGTTTTTAAATCTGAGTTCTGAGTGGCATTTTGAGGTGGTTTGTGTTTTAATTTCCATGTCAATGAGAATGCTGGTAGTAGCAATGCAGTCAGCTTTGGGACAAGGACTCTTCCAAAGGTAAATTCAAGTGAGTATAATGGAAGAAGAAAAACTCCATATGTTGAATATCTGAGTATATTCCACCATTATGTTTGTATGTAAGTTTTCAGGCTTACTGATTTGTAGCTAAACAAGAAGAGGTAGTATTGAATTTTGGGGCTGCAATGCCAGTTTCCAGGAATCTCTGTTCATCTACTACTGGAATGAAAATAGAGGCAGAAAGTGGGTCTGAGTTGCTCTGTAAAGTATCTATCTATAATTTTATTTGTAAAGAAAGATTATGTAAGTGTTTGTGGTTTGCTTTTTTTTTTTTTCCCTCCTGAAACTGGAAATGTGAGAACAGAGATATATTCATATCTTACAGAGGAATAAACCTTTAAGGCTTTGTTATAGTTTTTGTGCTGTTTGGGGAATGGGAGGCATTTGAAAAAAAAAAAATCCAAAGTGAAGAAATATCATTATTATGTCTAGATGCTATTGGATACAAAGTTTAGATAGTTTTGATATGAGATACTTCAATGTTTCAAGTTGGTATAAGCTGGGATAAACTAACCACTAACTGAGGTGGATGAAGTGATACAGAAAAATTTCCACTCCTGTCTTGCATTTTCTTATCCATCTTCATGGCTACAGTTAATTGTTCTGACTTCTGCAGTTGCTGTTATCATAGAAGGATGCAACTGCCATCTCCTTTGTGATAGATAAGATCTGCACTGGTGAGATAGGCTCCCACAGGAGTGGGATTCACAGTAGCAAATTGTCATGAGAATTTTTACTAGGGTTTCTTCAACACCCCAGGAAATCTATGTATACACATCAAAAAGTCAAAAGCTACTGCCACCATTTTTGGTAAAGCTCTCTGTCACAGTGAAACTTTGTAAGTGCCTATAAAAAGCTGACTTTTGGAAAGGGGGCAAGGCTGGCTGTTCATCCAAGTAAGTGCCAGAAATAAGGATCTCAAAAACTGAGCTTGATGATGCTGTGATGAGCTTTGACGTTTAGGGATTTAAAAATAATTTCTTCCCTATATGAGAAACTTTCCAGCTGCCTGTGTTCCCACAGTTGGTGGATGTGTCACCTTTCTGGTAAAGAATAAGTGAATGTTCATCTTGAAATTGTCAGATTTGTGAGTCCAGGTTTACTCTGTCTAATACAAAGCATTCAAGGTCAGTCTGCTAGCCCAAGGTGATTTTGCTTTTATTTTCATCACTGTTTTTTGAGGTGGGTTTTTTTAGAGTTAACATCTTCAAGATAAGAAGTGTGCTTGAAAATTATCTGTGCTTTTCTACTGATTAAAGAGGGACACTAGGACACCTGTACGAAGTTTAGATGACTCACATATGTAGGATATGTTTATGGTCTGTCTCAAGACATCCAATTTCCTTGAACATGTAGTTCAGCGTGTCAGTTTCTTTGCAACATGTGAAGGCTAAATTCTTTTTTTAAAAGACTTTTCAAATGAAGGCTTTTACTAGTTTTACAGTTAGAAATTGGAAGATTGTTTAATAAGTGGGGAAAAAGTCTGTCATGTATCGAAACTCTCCACACTGGGATCTTGTAAAGCTCTGCTGTGATGTAACTTTGGAGGTAGCAATCAAGAATTTAAATGTGGAATAGGAATGCACCTAAAAGTAAAGCCATGTAAGCCTAAAAGAAATGTGAGAGGCTTCACAAAGAAAGTGCTTGTTTCTGAGGATTATGTGCATACAGATGTGGGCCACAGATGTGCAGTACTAAATTCATTAAAGTTACTGCATTTACTGAGTTGTCCCTGCAACCGGTAATTCAGGTCAGGAATGGAAATAAACTGATGATAAAACCAGGTATTTCTTCCTAGTGAAGAATCGCCTTGTAAAGGTTTTCATGGTTGAAAGTACATGTGTAGATAAGATGGAGCGATAATTGCTCCTTGGTGAACGAACTCAGATTCCAGTTTAAAGAGGAAAGAAAAGAAGGGACAATACAATTATATGTGACAGGTTGAGGGTAATGTCTTTAATTAAGCCACAAATCTCATGCAGTAATAGAACATGAATATCATCATTTGGCATTCACAACTGCATTTAGTTAACTTCTCTTCCAGGAAAAGAGAAATTAAGAAGGCAAATATATTTCTCTGGGTCGTTTTTGTAAAGCAATTGCTGGCTGTGTGAACACAGGAAACGTTGAGAAATTAACATTTGGACAAGGAACAAAATTTGTTGTAATGCCAAGTAAGTGAGAAGTGAAGAATTTAATACAAAAAGACTAACAACTTAACTTCTGTTTCCAAGGTTCAGCTTCTCATATCAACCCAATTTTACTAATTACACTTTTCATGTGCTTTTCTTAAAAGCATTTAATTTGTTTGAAGGTTTAGGAAAGTTTGTACTGACAAATATCTGTAAGACTGAAAAGCCTTTCACTATCTATTTTTCTTATGCTAACCCATGGCCTTCCCAAATATACTGTGTTACAGGGGCAGTGGTGTGGAATGATTCAGACAAATCTTTTTTATTCTTTTAAGATTAATATGTTGGCACAATAATGGTTGCAAAGAAATGTTGCAATGCTAAACACTGTCCTCTTTTTGTATTCATGATTCATCTGAAATATCTTAAATAGAAAAAACAGGGAAATGTAAAACTTGTCTGCTCTTACAGATCCAAAATGTATACAGATGTGGTCAGTAAAGTATTAATTGAGGGCATTTGTGATAAGGTTTAGTTTAGCAAAATTTTAACTAACAAAGGTAAATTTCTGCGGATACAGTCATCAACACAGCAAGACAACTTGTTTTATACCGGCTTCTAAAATTTTTGGAAAGGCAATGTTTATCATTCAGTGATAGGAAGTCTGATAAATTCTTCCTGTAATAGTTTACATAAAGCGCCTTGTCACAGTGTGACTGATGGTTATGGAAAGATCACTTTCGGTGGAGGAACTACTCTGCTTGTGCTTCCAAGTAAGTCATCCAGTAAAAATACTTAGATCAAAGTGTTTCAGCACATCCCAGATCCAGTGAGAGTCCATTCAGTGCGACTCCTGTGTCCTCAGCAGAGCTGGATGAAGAAATGTTCTGCTTTGGTCATAGATATCTTCTCCCAGGGATGCAGCTTGAATGACGAATTCGTATTCATCCTAGAAGTGTGCAGCAGTATAAATCAGATAGGCTAATTTCAAGTTTCTATTAAATTCTTTTCTGCCCATGCAATTTCAGTGAGGTACTTTTTATAAAGGAGTTTGTTTTCAAGCCCTTCAGAGCCAGGTTTTCATTTCCAAGCTAATATCTGATAAAGTGCATAGACTTTTTCAGGGGCTATGAGATAAGTAGCTACCAATTCCCTATCTTTTTTTGAGACTTCAGCAGTGCTAGCTCAAAGCTGCTGCATTGTCATTGGAAGTTAAGCAATAAAGAAGTAATTGGAAGTTTAATGGTCCTCCCTTTTAGGCTTAGATATTCGAGCTACTTAAAATGTTATCTTGTTCTACTGAAGTTGATTGACTTCATTGTCTATTGAATACCCATGATAAAATGGTCATTTGTGCTGTGTTGAGAGACAGATACCCCTCAGAAATGGAAACCAACAAAATGAACTTTCTTTTCACTTACTAGAACTTTTGTTAATGAGAAAGAAATTTCCAGTTTGCAGTTTTAGTTTAAAGAAAATCTCTGAGGAGGAAAGGAAAAAAAAACAGTCCAGACAGCATTTTCCATAAAATATTTATCTATATAATGACTGGGTTTTGTTGGGGTTTGTGGGTTTGGGTGGTTTTTTGGGTTTTGTGGTTGGGGATTTTTTTGGTGGGTTTTTTTTTGTTTGTTTGCAATTTTGTTGTGAGCAATTGTCATTCTGATTAATTCTGTGACAAGCATTTCTCTTTTCCAAAGTGCAGCAAATACTGGGAAGGTTGGCGGTGGGGTGTGTGTGGAACGTTGGTAATGAAAAGCGGTATGTAGAAAATCATAGGAGGAAACCCAAGGTTTTGTTAGTAAGTGGGCACCTCAATGTGTAGGTTAATTCAGCTACAAACACTATTTGATGAAGATCCTATTAAAAACGCAGTGAATGTTTTATGCCCTGATGAGGTGGAAAATGAACTATGTGGGGTTGCATTCATGGAGTCTCCTTTACTGCATTTCTAAAAACCTTACAGAAACAAGTCATTCACTTCAATATATGTGGGACCACACGGTATATGCAATGAGTAGCTGAAATGTGCATATCCACCACAGAAATTAATTAGGAGTTTGATTAATTATTTGACTTCAAGGGCAAATTCTCTTTCTCTCTCTCCCTTATATTTTAGTCTGCATGTAAGATCCAAACTCTTAGTGAAGAAGAAAGAATAAAGATTTGTAGTTAGGGTGCAAGAATTTTCCGGTCCAAGTAGCTTACACAATGGAAAGGTTTTAATGAGGTTTCAAATACATGCCTGGATTTTCTTTGTTGGGTTAAGTCTGGGATGGGATCATCTTAGTTCATTCCTGTCCAGAAGTCATCACAGAGCAGGAAGTTTTTGCAAAGGACTTAAATGATGTGTGAATTCAGGAAACAATTATAACAAGTTGCAGTTTGGCAAAGGAACAAGGCTCACTGTTAAACCAAGTAAGTGCATGATCTGAAAAAAAAGTATCTTGAAAAGTATTGGAGAACCTAATGCTCGGAACTGGCAATACTTAATGGTCATGGGAAGGGAATCTCCTTCCATATCTACTGCTTCTAGGGCTGAAATGATGGTGTGGCTGGAACATTCATTGTAAAGGCAGCAGCAAGAAAATGTCGGGGTTTTTGTAAGGTCTGGTAGTAATGGTTTATAGAGAATAGCTGTTATGAGAGGTGTCCTTACAGTAATTACCATGGAAAGTTTCTGCTCACACAAAGGAAACAAGGACTAGACTCCCAGCAAAATTAAAACAGTGTAAATCATCATGGGGAGTGGCAGAGAGCTGACAAATTTGTCCCCAGACTACAGAACTGTCTCATTTCTCAAGCTGCTTGAGCTTCATGATATTCCTTGGCAGAAAGAGCCATTGTCAACAGTGTAAAAGAATTCATTTTCCTTGTGCTTTTCACATCTATCCCTTTTGAAGAGCACCTCATGGACTAATCGTGTGTGGAATTGCATGAACAAGAAATAGAGAGAGAAGAAGGTGGCAGCTTTTCAGAGAATTGGGAAGTCTCTGCTCTGTAGAAGAAAGTGATTTAATATGCATTAACAGAGATAAAAGAGCCTGCAGAAGTTCTGTTCCTGTCAAATACTGGACTAGGTGTCCTAGCCAGATATTCTCACTGATCAGTTACATCTTCCTCAGCAGAACTGCTCAGGACTGGGGAATGAAGTGGTTCTGGTAATGTTTCTCTCTCTTTACCAAGGCACAGCTTTGAAAATGTTAATTGTATGATTTCTGTGGAGAGAGTCTTAGTTTATTTCTGGTTATGCCAAAGAACCCCGTGTTCAGACACTTCATCTTTCTTGATCTGTAAAAAGTATTGACATGAAACCTAATAGGAGATAAAGAAGAGACAACCCAGCCTTCAATTTGTGGGGACTTTACATATATAATTTTATTTTGATGACTAGAGTCTCCTCTCATGGCATCTGGAATGTGCAGAAAAACATGTGGGTTTTTTGTAAGGAAGCTTTTGACAGTGTGTATTCAGGAAATGCAGACAAACTCATCTTCGGAAGAGGAACCAGACTGCTGATAAAGCCCAGTAGGTATTGACTCACTAGTATGATTGGGAAAGACAGAGTACTCTAGGTCTCTTGTCAGAGCTTTCTTAAAGAAGAGCTTCTTTAAAATATGAAAGAAAGAGGCCTGGGGGAAGAAAAACACATTCTAATCAATTCACTTTTAACTTCTGTGTCATGTTGATATGAGTGGAACAGGTCCGGAATTGCTATTCTTCCACTAAAATAAATGAATGAGCTCTGTGTTGTGCAAGCACAGCATTAGTCAGGATAAACCCTACAGGGGAGTATATCTGAGATTAGTGTTCATGAATAACCTTTGTTTGCTCAAAAGATTAGATGAAGCTGGTTTCTGGGACTTAGGTTTGGATCCCTTACTGGGTTCATTGCCAACTGAATAAACAAGAAAAATTAGGTCGTTAAATTGGTTTTCTCTGGGAATTTCCTTCTGTTTATTCTTTCTTGGCTTTTTCTTCTTAAGGATCTGGTCCTTTGCTTAGCTTCTGAGATTGACTAGCTGGCTGATCTGTCTACTCTTCCTTTAGACCTTGAGAAGTTTTAGAAACAGTTATGTTAGTTGTTTAAAAAATGGTAGAAATTTCATCAAACTTCGAAATGTCTAACAGTGTGTTCTGGCTTTTAAAGGCTTCTCTCTTTACAATTTTCGTATAGAGGCTTATTACTGTGGGACAACTTCATGGAAACTCACCTTTGGGAGAGGCACAAAACTAGTTATGAAATCAGGTACATCTTAAAATAAATAGTTGTTTGACATTATAAATGCCAGGCTGAAAATCTCCTGTCCTAACTTCAGAAAAAAATTGTTCTACTTAAAAACTGCTCAAGGAGCTTCAACAGTGCTATGCTAACAGGGTAATGGGCTTGATTTTCTACTTCACGAATTTCAGAATTGTTTTTATCTGCATTTCTATAGAAAGATCAGTCATGCAACTAAAAAGACTAATTTGGAGTCAAAGGTATGTGACAAGGATGGTACCTTTTTTCCCTTGATCTCTTCTGAAACATGCATATACATGTCTGGACCAAAAACTGTGTGTGGTTTTTGTTAATGGGAGTGTCATTGTGTGAATTCAGGATTCGACTCCAAAGTCACCTTCGGAAGTGGTACACAACTGATGGTGAAACCAGGTGGGTAGAAACCCTGAAGGAGTAAGGATAGGAAAGCCTAATTCCCCTTTCTGTGACACAGCCATTAAAATTCCATTGTTCTTTCCTTCTGTGGGCAGTTGAAACTCAAGACTGACCTTGCATCAGGGAAAAAAAATAATCATTATAAAGCTAAATGCCTGTTCGGAGGACTGGACTCTCCTGTATGTGTCACTGAGAGCTATAACATTTGTGAACGCTCAGAATTAGTTTAATGCAGGTTCTAGAGCAATGGCTGCAATAATATTTTTCTGTGCAGCCTTTATTGATGTCAGCTGTCCTCATGAGAGGACAGAGAGCATCTATCCCAATGGACTGTATGATGAATGTTTCTTTTTCTCCAAAAAGAATAAGCAAATCACTTCCTACACCTGGAGAGAAGAGTCCTACACAAATACTCCTTTTCTTCACTGATACATGTTCCCAGAAATCTCCTAGACCTTCAGGGACATTCACTGTCCTTTTATTTCCATTGTCCAGAACCTTGTCCCATTCATTTTCAAAAGTTGTGGTTCTTGTTTCTGCTGGGAAAACTGTCTTACCTTTTGCTCTGCTTCTCCTGCTTCTGGCTACAGACAGGTTTTCATGCAGTTTTTCAATCCTCGGCAAAAAAGCTGGGCTGTCTTGAAAAGAGATTTGAACAAGCAGAGTGTTGTTTGGGGAATCAACAAAGGTGTTTTGAAGATTTGCACTATGTGCAAGAAGGTCCAGGAAAAGATCTCTGATTCTAATATAGATCTAATGCTGAAAGAGGAATTTTACTGCTTTGCATGAATGAAGGACAAATCTTTCAGTCAGTGATAACCTCTGTCAAAATTGAAAGAGACCAACAGCTAGGAAAATCTTTGAAGGAAATCTAAGTTAAAGTTACCAAGGAATTTACTTGGGTAGGCTAAGTTAAAAGAAATGCCAGGCAGGAACTGGAAAGTACTGGAAGAGAAAAAAAGGATATTTTGAAGACAAGTACTGTATGACTAGCTATGGAAACAAATCCACCTTCAGAAGTGGAGAGCAGCGAAATCAAGTAAGTTTTAAATTATTCTCTGTTCAATATTGTATATAAAAAAGAAAAAAAAATCAAAATAGTGAGGTATTTTATGAGTTAAAGAAAGGCTTGCTAAGATATGCCCCAAATTATTCAACTCAGTAAATTATTTAACAATGTTAGTAATCTACTTCCTTCCTTCCAGATAAGCAGTGTGGAGTTCTCATCCCATTTACTTGGGGACAGATATTTTGTGCCATGGCCATGCGAGCATGGATTCCCTTTCTCTCTAAGTATGTCCACATCCGAACTTCTGTTCTTGTTGAGCTGAAAATCACACTGCCACACTTGGCAAAGGGATGACTTCAGGTTTTGCCTAGTAAGTGATGTCTCCTTCTTCTAGTCTCCTTCCATGTGGGGCAAAGCTGCCCAGTGAGCTTTCCATCATCTCTCTTCTGGGATTATATAGCTGTGGAGTTAACTGCCGCCTGCAATCCTCCTGGAAAGGCTTTGGCTCAGGTCAGAAGCAACAGTCCCTCAAAAGAGGGTTTGTACCTACAGGTCATATAGTGAGTGCTCTTGATCCCCCAGACAGGTCGTGGGGGAACTTCACTTCAGGATGTAGCTGACTCCTGATGACATTCATCAGTGTCTCGTTGGGCTGTGGATGCCCAGCTTTGCTAAGGGGTGGGGAAGGTTTTTGTTGAGAGAGGAAATGCTGTGTGACCTCTGCTTTGTATAAAACTGTCTTTGGCTCTGGAACGAGACTCACTGTTAGGCCACGTAAGTCCAATGCTGCTCCTATGTTTTCTCTTCTGTGTGAAGCCTTTCTTGGGGCGGCTGAGAGCAGCAGCATGGCTGGGTGTTTGGTCACTCATGGGTGAGATCAGCTAGTGAGGGACTTTGCTTTAAAGGACTGTGCCAGCTTGGTCCAAAATGACCCTCTGTGCTCTCAGTTATGCTGGGAAGGACAAAGTGGCCACACACCTGCTCCCACATGTCCCAGCTGCCCCGTGGGGAGGCTGTGCAGTGCCACTGCACCCCGCTGGGGTCTGTGCTGCAGTGGGCAGCGCTGTCACCCCTCTGCTGCCCCTGCAAGCCTCGGCATGGCTGGGCAAAGGCTTGGGAGAGGTGCTGCTGCTGAAATGGCTTGCTCGGCTTTTTGTCATGGAAGGAAATGCTGTGGGGTTATGGCTCTGACTATGGCAAGGTGACCTTTGGCTCCGGGACCAGACTGTCCGTCCAACCCAGTGAGTGTGCAGCCTTCCTCTGTGTCCTTTGTCAAAAGTGAGTGGGGTAATGCCTGTGTCTTGCATCTCACCTGACGATTATGTCCTAAAGTTGTGCTGTGACTTGGCAGGGAAAGAATTGGCTAGTTGGAATGCATAGTAGTGTTTCAAATTCTGTAATTGTGTTTGCATTGTAGAAAAGCCCACCTGTAGAGGGAAATGTGGATCCAAGGGATGGTGGACCTGATCAGTTCCTCTGACCTTCAGCCATGTTTATGTTGTTATTCCCATCCCTTTTTGCCGTTCCGTCACAATAAGAGTCTGGGGTCATGCTGCAAAGGTCTCTGCAGGACCCATCATGCCAAGTTTAACTGTAAAGTCAACAGACTCGTTTCTCTTCTAATGAGAATCCTGAGCAGCTTCATTACCAAGGGTCCCTTTGCAGCGTTCAACAAGTACAGTACTGAACCTGCATAACCACCCCTATCCATGCTCATAGCCAGCAACGTGAGGTTCTTTGATTTTTCCCTTC